TTGGTTTTTTGAAACAGGGACTCACTATGTAGTTGAGACTGACCTGGAACTCACTGTGTAGCCCAGGCTGGTCTCGAACTTACAGCGATCCTCCTGCCTCTGCCTCCCGAGTGCTGGAATTACAGGCATGCGCCACCATGCCCGGCCTTGACTGACATTCTTAAAACTCAGTTCTACCTAGACCTTGCCAGTGCCAGATCCACCCATAAAATCAAAATCTTTCTGAAGTACAAATGCATTTATGGGCCAGGGATTTAACTCACTGGTTCTGCCACCTGCCTTGCAAGTGCAAGGACCCAAGTACAAAAAACATGTACTTATGTGTCAAAAATGATTTAATGATCAGAGCAAACAAAATCACAGGACAAAATATTTTAAGGAATAAGCTCATTTTCCCAAAATCAGAATAATAACAAAATACTAAAAAAGATCAAAGGAAAAAAAACTTTGGGAAATCAGATAAAACACATTTTATGGATAAATAAGTTTTTTTTGCATTCAGTAATTTGTTTTTAAATATGTAACTGAAGATAAAATTTACTTTTATCTTTTTGTATCTTTTTGCATTTCGAATTTGTTTTAAAAAACAGAAAAGAGAAAAACAAGTCTTACCAATAATAACATCACAGGATTTATGCATCTGAGAAACTTCATAAGCACAACGCATTTCAGAGTATGTAATCCCTCCAATTACAAAAATAATCAGCTTTGATCCATTTTTTCGGTCTAGTTCTAGATAATTAGTTCTGGGTTTCTGGCGAGCACTGAAAAGTAAAGAACAAAGAAGGCAAAACATTACCAAAGCCATACTGCTTGAAGACTTTTTAAAAGGCCTAATTCAATCAAATTCAACTTTTACAGCCATTTATTCATTTTAAGGAAATGACCTAATTATCAGCACCTAGAATTGGCAGGAGTGATTCATTTCAAGTTTCATTTTTTTTTTTGTACCGGGGATTGAACTCAGGTCCTTGCACTTGCAAGGCAGGCCACCGAATCGCTGAGCTAAATCCCCGGCCCTCAAGTTTCAATTTTAATGGATCACTCATAGACTAGCTCTGCATTTTTTTAACCTATAAAGTAGAGCTGATATCTTCACTTATTTCATATAAATTATATACCAACTGCAATCAAAAATAAGTTAAGGGAGTGGCACTGAAGGGGAAAGGGGCAGGCGCGTATTAGGAACTGATGTGGTACTGGGATACTTCTTGTTGGAATTCAGCAGAGTACGATGACAGGAGGTGGTGAGAGTTAGACCTAGCGGTCAATCCGTAGTTCGCTTAGTTCAATAGGACTTTCAGTAATATACTTAACTTCTCCTTATACCTCAAAGGTTGTTATAAGGATTAACTGTATGGAGCACACTAAGTATGGAATCAGACACCCGGTAGCACTAAAGAAGTAAGAGCCATTTCTTAGACCATATCCTTCCCCAGATTGTTCTAGATCTTCACTGTCCAACACAGTGGCTATTAACCACATGAAGTTATTTAAATTTAATTATAAAATAAATAATTAAGTTTCTCATTCACACTAGTCACATATCAAACACATAATAGACACTACGGCTAGAGACTATCATGCTGCACAGTGCAGACAGGGAATATTTCCATCACTGCAGAAAGTTCTACTAGATGGTACTGGTCTAGAGCATAAGAATTACTTTTTTCCTTCACTGGTAAAAACTTGAAGCTTTTATTTCAAAAGTACTTTATTTAAAAATAAACATTTAGCTGGGCATGGTGGCGCACACCTGCAATCCCAGCACTTGGGAGGCTAAGGCACGAAGATTGCTGTGAGTTTGAGTAGTGAATTCCAGGTCAGTCTCAACTATATAGTGAGACCCTGTCTCAACAAACAAACAAACAAACAAGCAAGCAAGCAAGCAAAACCCTCAAAATAAAACTAAACAGCGACCCAGCCGCCATCGCTCAAGCTCCAGGAGGTAGGTCGTGCTCCGATCCACCGGCGGGAAGGAGAACCACGCCTGCTCCCGACTCAGCCACCATCGCTCAAGCACCGGGAAGGTAGTCGCGCGGCGCCCCTGAACCCCCATAAGCTCCCCCGCCCCGCACTCTCAGACCTCCTGACTGTGCAAGTCTTTGGACCC